CTTATCTTATCTTATCACTCTGGAAACAGACAGACAATTGGAAATGTATGTCACCTTCTTTAAGAATTTCTTGTCTGAAATATTTAAACTGTAGATACACAATTACTGCTTTTGTGGCTATTGTAACCAGTGTCCTATTTTAAACCTATAAACAATAACACAGTGACTTTTGTCATTGCTTTAAATTGTTATTTGTACCGACATCTGGTTCTTTTATTTTTTCTAAGCTCAAAATAAATTCATTAAGTAAAGACAATTTTTTTAGACCAACCTTGAATATTAGAGAAAGAAATACCAAAGAGATGAAATTTATAGCAGAAAACTTGATTTCTAATTTTATTTATTGTTTATTAATGGTGGTTCAGTAGATGCATATCCAGATACATTTCTTGTGTACAAATGTCGTGTGTGTATGTATATATATATATATATATATATATTATAAATTATTGATTTAAAATGTTTTTTTCGCTTCACAGTTCTAATCATGTTTCAAAAATGGAAGCTAAAAGCCCCGAATTTAATTTTGTAATTAAATTAAAGACATTAGTTCCATTTCATCCCTGATAAAAATAGTGCTCAATATAAAAAGCTGCCTGATGATTGCGCCTAGCATGAAACAGCCTGTCACCTCTGAGTGTTGACTTCAATATTCACTTATATATTTACATACTCTCTATCTCTGATACTGAGCACTTTATCCCATAATCCCATAAATATAGCACACCTTAAAACTATATTTCTTCAAGTATATATATATATATATATATATATATATATATACACAGACACACAGGTCAAAAATTACCTGCACTTTCACCATCTTTAGGTTTGTCACACTGCCTTCTGCTCATGCATGCTTATAGTTAGTACTATTGTGGTCACATGATTGAAGTTTGAGCTTGATCACACCAGTTTTCTTGCTGCTGTTACAGTGTAAACATGTTAGCAGTGTGCACCAAGAATAATGTGTGTGTGTAAAATTTTCAAAATAAAAATTTATGTCGAAGGGGAATAAGAATAATTGACAAAAGGAAAACTTATCTTTACTGACATGTTTCACCTTCTGAATTATTATATATATATATATATATATATATATATATATATATGTTTAGCTGCAATTTAGTTTCTTTGAAATGATTATTTCATAAAATTGGTAACTGATAGCATAAGTCAGTTTTTATATTTACTGACTTGGTATGAGAATCACCAATCTTTCTGCTTGAGAATTCCTTTTGCTATTATTCCCAGATAAGATTTTATCAGCAAAATGTTCCATGTTATTTTAGAGATATAAGTTGAAGCCACATGCAAAACTAACAATTTCTCTGCAACTAGTCATAAGGAAGAAATTTGTTAAAATTGTGTTCTAGCTATATCTCCATGCCTACAGATTTGCATTGATATTACACAAGTCTGCAAAATAAATCTTTTTATTTCAAATGTGGTTCAGTTTAACAAATATTGCTTACTAGCTTAAAAGCTGCTCTATTCGATGGCATTTAAGTTAGCTCCTGCAGAGGACTCTTAATTGGGCCTTCACAATATGTAGGGAGGAGTAAATGCGATAGGCAACAATAAAACTATAGAAGAACTCAGAATTGATTGCTGCATTTAAGTATTGCATTAATATTTAAGCTTACCTTTTAAAAGTTCAATGATAATTCTTCTGTCACCATTTAATTTAAAGATACTTTGATGTATGTAGGTCCTTACTTTCTGTACAAACAATTATTTTTATTTCATGGGTGACTTTCTCTGGACTTTGCAATTTCAATTATTTTCAAATTTAATTCCAAGTTTAAAAAATTCTTATAATACAAAATAATTTGTCACAAAAAAAATCATGTAAAAAAAAAAAAAAAAAAAAATCGCTGAAAGAAATCACAGTAATGAAAACTTGAGAATCCAAAATTTCAGGTTTGCAGGTCCACAACCAACCCAGAATGTTTTTAATTTGCTCACAGAGTTGGTTTGATTCCAAAATGGTATGATATGTTGGGCTATGCCCTCTAAGAGTAAAGTTGAAAAAGTGTGACACAGTGACTTACTAGCATTTATTATATAGAAGAAGATGTGATAATAAAAGTTAGAGAGTTGTGTCCCCTTTTATTGAAAAAGTGTGATACACTGATATTTACATTTATTATATAGAAGATAACTTGTAAAATATACGAGAGAGTATTCAAAATTAACTAGAATTCTGTTATATTTGTTGGTAGGAAGTTCAGGACAAACCATTTCAATATAGACATCTTGTTAATAGTCTAATGATCTTCATTATGTCACAAACTTTTACCATTTTGATTTGTTGAAGTGTGGCTCGATCATTGTTGGTGTACAAGTGATTGTTCACCACATTTGAAACACTAATATTACTCATTATATTTAGTTATTTGGTTGATTTAGCTTGGACATTCATGAGTCTATCACACCAACCGTCACGGTCATGTATCAAGGTCATTAGGGTGGCATTTTGTGTCATAACATAGCTAGTCAATGTCTTGCTCCATGTCTAGTTATCAAGAGCAGTAGCTCACACACAAGTTCTAGTTTTGCTCACTAACAGTTTCCTGCAAAGTGTATTCTGCATTCATGTAAGATCTTAGAAATATCAGGGATGGGTCCATAGAGCAATGATTTAGTTGGATGTTGTCTCCAAGAGATGTCAGGTGTAGCTCCCTTCGAGCTTAACTGGTTTTATTTAATGCTTCTTTTATCGAAGCTTATCTATACTTTACATGGTTATTACAATTGAAGAGAAAAATAAAGATCATGGCAAGAAAGGCATCCACTTGGTTGAATGGATGATTATGTGGTTAGCGAGGGATGGAGAGATCAGGGGAGGCATGTGATTGAAGGAAAAAATAATAATAAAATGTCCTGCCCGGCACAGAGATTGAGCTCACAACCTTCTGTCAACCAGCTGGAGATCTGAGCTTTTAATGGTGATGGCACTCCTGGAATAAGATCACCTGCTGGGGTTATATAAAAACCAATGGTTTTTCTCTCTTATTTTCTTTTCGTTGCAAAAAATAAAATAAATTTGTACATATTTATCTATAAATTATTACCATCATGGGTGTATTACTTGGACCCCTGAGAAAATGCGGTATTTTGGTACATATTGAAACTGAATGGAGTGGGATCTAAAGGTGATTGTGTCAATTGTTAGAATGAATGGTGATGAGTTGAATTAGCTAGAAGTAGGATAGTGAATTAAGACCATCCTATTTCCCCTCCTCTCAGTTCAGCATTGTGCCACAAGCAAATGTATTTTTTGTTGAATAAACTTTTTTTTTTTTTTTTTTTTGTTGCCTGGAGAAACTTTGTCACCCAGCTTTAAACCTAATAAGGATTTTTGCCAGTTGCTCAGTTGGTTGATTGCTGAGAAAGTCAAGCAGAGAGTATAAGAAAAAAGACTAAGAAGTCAAAGCAAATAGAGACTATAATTACAAAGACTATTACTTAATTACTACAGTTATAATATTAAATTACAATAGTTATATTATTCAGCTAAACCTTTTCACTTATACCCCCCACCCAATTCTCTTTTTTTTTTCTTTTTTTTTTAATCATTACAATATTGGGAAACACTAGAAAAAAAAAAGAAGTCGATAAAGGACCCTGTTAGGAATTATATACAGTTCATATGTCACATATTAATTTTTTTTTCTTTCTTAACACAGAAAAGATTAATATTTGTTAGACTTTAAAAAATTAGTCCAATCAGATCATTGTATAATAAGAATATAAGCTTTATCATAGCTTTTGCATTTATCTACATAATCATATTGGGGTACTTTTTACTCCACCCAAACCTATTGATTCTACTTAATGCCGGTTTATCTCTCTTACAATTAAAAACAAAAAATAAAATAAAATACAGTCAGTGATAACATAGCACAAGATTAAACTTTTCATAGTTGGAATATAAATGCCACAAGTTTTTAACCATGAAAAAATTTGTTTTGTTTAGTAAACACCTATTATAAAATATTAGTTTTAAAATAATTGCATCACAAAGATTAGCTGTAAAAATGAAGGCCTTTTTTCTTCTTATGGAATTTTTTTTTGTGAAATTGATGATAAATCTTTTTTCTTTTCTTTTTTTTCTCTTTTTTTGTGTCAAGTATGCATATATATATAATTCATAAATGAGATATTATTTAAGGCTTGGCTTATGGTCACATTGAGACACTAGTTACCATACAATCACTGAAGATAAGCAACAGTGAGCCTGATCATTACCTACATGGGTGACCACTTAGGAATACCAGGTGCTGTAAGCTTGGATGTGTGGGTGGTGTAATGGATAATGGCCCGGAATTGTTTGAGTTCCAATTCCCATTGGGTTTATTATATTCACTTACACCCAAATACCCATGAGAAAGGCATGAATCCACTTTTTCTACCTCCAGCTATGAGTTAATTAGTAGGACTTGGATCACTAAACCATTATTAACTCAAAAACAAAAAATTCTTATAATCTAAAAATATTTTCTGGCTTTAAATAACCTATAAAAGATTGATAAGCAATAGAACATGAATCATTCAACCAATATTTATTTAAGGTCAATATTCTTCTAAATTATGTCAATTAGACTGAGATAAAAATATCATTTACAAGTTTTATTTTAGCTGACTAATTGTGTTGCTAAAATCTCTTTATAGTAAAAACCTGGACATTTTCTTTTAATTAACAACCACTCATTAATTTTTCTTTTCCTTGTTAATACCTTCTGGTCAGCCAAGTACAAATATTAATATGAATAATTTAATCCATTGTGATTTATCAATCAGGATAAACTTGAATAAGCAGCATGCCATGTTTAATATTTCTGTATCATTGTTATATTCCCCTGTATCCTTATAATTCTGTATATGTCCAAGTTTCTCAATTTCTTATTTTTGATGGAAATAGTTGGGTTTGAACCCGGATAACAACCCAAGGTTTTGGATGTCAATTTTTGAAGCAGGTTCTTCTCACTTTGGGCTTACGGCCATATCATGTTAAAATACTAGTTCTTGTACAATCACCGAAGTTAAGCAATATTGAGTCTGGTCAGTGCCTAGATGGGTGACCACTTGGGAATACCAGGTGCTATAAGCTTGGATGTGTTTGGTGCAATGGATAATGGCTCAGAACTGGAAATCAGAAAGCCAAGTTTCAATTCCAGTCAAGTTCATTATATTCACTTGCATGCAAAAATACCCTTGAGAAAGGTACAAGTCCACCACTTCTCCCCCCAGCTGTGGGTTAGTTAATAGGACTTGTATCAGTAACTCATTATCTCCAAAAAATTGTTGCAATCTAAAAATATCATCTAGCTTTTAATATCCCGCAAAGGGTTTATAAGCAATAAAAAAAAAAAAAATGATCGATCTTTCCACTTTGAATGCATTAAAGCTTTTACTCAATTGTGTGGCAATGGGCCATGAGTTCAATTCCTGATGATATACAATACTCCTCCTGGATGAAACCAGATTCTTTCCAGCACCAAATACAAAAGGCCAATACAGTGAAATTATTTGCTTCAATTTTCCCTCTAGCATGGTGCTCATTTAGTAAGGCATGCTTATTATTTTTCAAATAATTTTTAAAATCTTTTCTTACACATTTATTAAGCTTTTATAAAACCTCCCAGGAAAACATATATTTGAACTATTTTATAAGTTGCAAAATTCTTACCAGCTTGATTATTCCAGATGGCATTTGTATTTGGTACAAAAACATACACAGACTCTATTTCTTTCAATTTAAGGTACACTTTATCAAGAAGATTCCTCCCAAAATCACTATTTTATACTTTGACAGTCAGTTTACTGTTACGAGACTAACAACTCATATTTGGTTAAGTGTAATTGACAAAATTCTCAAAAAACAGAATTGAGAAAATTCTAAAGAAACAATAAGGAAAAGCAAACTAATACTAAGCAAATAATATATATACATTAGACAAAGCAACAATAAGGCAAAAATTCACAAGAATTGTTTACATACAGTCAAGTGGTTATAGCATTCTGACTTCAAGATAAGCCAAAAGAAAAATATGTGGGAAGAGACTGAGAATTGTCCATTTTCATTGATTAGGATTGTGTGTGTGTGTGAGAGAGAGAGAGAGAATTGCTGAAAAGTTGATTTGACCAAGAGATTTAAAAGAAAAAAAAATTCTGATGTTTGGTCAGAATTCTGGAAGTGGGTTTGATTCAAAACTTTTCAGCACTCACCCTCATATTTGTATAATATTGGATTGGTGCTTAATTATTAAGCGTTTTTGTAGGCGAGTTATTTGTTAATAAAAATATCATTTTATTTTCAGGTTATAAAAATGCATGTCAATAATCATACACTCTGAAATAATCATTTAAAAATGTTCTTGAATTGTTATATTTCTTTTTTCATAATAAATATTGTTTAAAAATGCCTGATAATTATGCACCAACCCTATATATATATAACTTTTGTCTCTGTATATGATTGTTTCAGTTCAAAACTGACATTAAAACTTTTCATATAAGACAAAAACAAAGTTGGTCAGCTTCATGAGTTAACTATTTCCCACCTGCTTCATTAGTCTGTGTTGAAGCACAGATGAAAGCTGATATTTTTAAAAGTAATAACAAACCCCTGCTCTCTAACTTGGAAGATTAGGACAATGCAATCTTCTTGCCTGTGTTTTGTAAATTAAAGCAAAATTGTCAAAAGAAAAAAAAAGCAAATACACAAAAGCCTATTTCTAGAATTATTTTTTAAGATATTTATTTATTTACATATTTACAGAAATTTCTTTAAAATAAAAAGAGAAAGGTAATGATAAATATTTAAGATGTATGTAGGTACTTGTCAGTATTATGAAATTCTGAAAAAAAACATGCATTTTTGGTGATTTGAGTTGTGTTCATATATTTTTTTTTATTTATAAAAAAATTCAGTCATAGTTTGTAAATCCGCACGATTTAAAAAATAGTTTTCAAATGCAAGTCTGATCAAAGTTGGTATTGATACTTCCAAAAACCTCTTCGAAAATGGAGATAATTCTTTTCAGGACAGATCTGATGTATCTTTTAACATTGTCAATGACAAAGTAGTCTACAGTTCCCCACATATTTTTCCTGTTAAGAATTATCTCCCTTAGTTTGTCAAGTTGCTGCTTGATGGGGATATTTCTTTGCTATCATTATCCAATCAGTTAATTTCTTTTTCATCTCTGATTTCTTTTTTCTTTTTCATGAGATATTTTCCTTTCAGATAATCTTCAAGCACAATCTTTGAGTTATCAACATTTTTGCTTTCGCCAGAGATTTAAAACTTGATATTAAACTTTTCATCTCTTATTGTCTACAGATTTTGGATCCATACACAAAAAAAAAAACCCTGAAAAATCAGGTTTAAGAAACTTTTTAAAACATTTAATCTTTCAATTTTTTTTTTTTTGTCTTTGACAAATATTAATTTCTATAAACAAATTTCAAAATAACTAATCACTGAAATCTATAAAACATTTATCGTAGAATGCAGAATTTGTTAGTTTAATTTGATTTGAAAATGTTTGTTACTGGATGCTAGTATGTTTGGATAACTCTTAGTCACCATTATGTTGCGAGAATCAACACTTTGGAAAGTAAATATTTACAGACTCCTGGAAAATGTATCCCGCAAACAATATTGGCAGACTCATTGTGAGTCCAGGTAAAAATGAATATCACAAAACAATAAATATAAAACAAACAAGAATACATGTATTAAAAAAAATAATCACATGTGAAGACAGTTGTAATGAATGGAAAAAACATTAAAACAAATTATGATAAGAATGTGCTTGTTTGTGTGTGTGTGTGTGTGTGTATGTAACAAGCGTGTGTGTTAGACATGTGTGTTTATAGAGTATAAAAGTCAACAAAGAGAAAACTATAAAGTGAATGTACCCCAGTGGGGGACACTTTACTCACGTGCAACTACATCTGAAAGCCAGAGCTGGTGAGTGGGAATATCATTGCTTATTTATAAGCTTAAAGAGCACCCCCTTGTGGGCACTTTTCACAGGGTGAGTAACCCACAAATTCTTTGAAGCTAAAAATACTTCATAGCTTTCAGATTTTTCTTAAGATGAAAGAATAACATTTCTTAAAAGTTGATTACGCTCAAACATTGTGAATTCAAATTAAGACTGTTTTTTTTTATAGGATTTTTTTTTTTTTCTTTTACTTTATTTTGCCATTATGTGATCTTGAGAAGTTATCATTTATTTGCTAAAATGTCATTTTTATGGAATCCTTTTAGCTAAACTACAATTGTGGACTACAAATTATATATATACATACATACATTTGTATCACTTTAGACATTATTTTAGTGGGTACTCATGTTTGAGTAGGCACTCTGTTTGTTTATTAACCACTATTTATTTTTGTCTGCTGGCCTGAATGTTCAAGAAATCTTATTAGAGAAAAATGTGTTCTCTGGCAGGCTACAACCCTCTGTCCCCCAGAGCAGGTCAAACTTTCAGGCCAGTAGACAAAAATAAATATACTGTTTAATAAACAAATGGAGTGTCTATTCAAATATGAGTATTTAGTAAAAATAACATTTAAAGTGATATAAATCTGTCAGATTAAAAAAAAAAAATCCATTTTAAATATATATATATATATATATATATATATATATATATATATATATATTGATAAAGTGGAAAAAGATTTTTCATGTGATGAATTTCATTCTTTAGGACTTTATCCGGCTAAAGTGATGTTGATATGATTACACATGCACATGAAGGAGAGGGGATGCTGAAATTTTAAATTAAAAATATATTTTTTTTAAATTTAAAATTTCAGTCTCCCGTCTCCTCCATTCACGTGTGATCACATCAACATAAGCATCACTTTAATCCGGTAAAGTCTTAATGTATGAAATTACACACAATATGTTTTCTATTTTGTTGTGGGTTTTTCTTAAAATTGTTCTTGATATATAAAAATTTATATAACATTTTCCCATATATAGTACAACCTCAGTTCTCAAACACCTCACATGTTGAATAAATCAGTTTTTGAACAGAAAATTCGAGATGAAAATGCCTTGGTTAGCGAACAAAATTTCAGTTCTCAAACAACGTTGCCAAACTGAGTTAACCCCCCCAAATGAAATAATTTCTGAATCGACTGGCATGTTGTATACATTCATGTGTTGTGGCAGGCTTTTCTTTTACAATTTTATTGTAGTGTGACTTTTTTCTCTACATTGATTCCTATTGGAAAAATAGTTTCAGTTTACAAACATTTTGGGTTTTCAGGGATGAATTAAATTTGTGAACCGAGGTTCCACCATATATATATATATATATATATATATATATATAGTGTAACCCGGATATAAGAGAGTTATCGGGACCGGGAAGAAAGTCTCTTATATCCGGTTTGGTCTATTTTATATACATTAACACAGGTTCTAATTTGGAACCAGAAAATCTCTCTTATATCCGGGTTACACTATATATATATATATATATATATATATATATATTGAAAATGGCTAGAAAAGTCAAATAAATGTAGAAAACCTGCCAGAACACTGCCTAATTACTGACAATGCTCAATGATCCTAGAACAGAAAAGTTATAAACTGGAATTACAATCCAAAACCATAAAGAGTCTGATCTGTTCCATAACTAAAAGTTTCACACAAAATGAATGCAATCTTCAGATCAATCTTAGATCAAATTGATTAAATGCAAGAAACCTTTATTCAAATTAACCACACACACACACACACACAATGGAGAGCCACAATGATTTACTTATGTGAAACTGAGTTGAAAAACCTTATGGAAGTTTTATATTTTTTTGTCAGATTTCATATAGCCTTCACAAACTGTTTTTTTCTTGATAGAAATATCAGCAATTCCACCAACCATATATATAAAAATCATCTCTTGCATATAATATATATATATATATATATATATATATATATATATATATTTCTCTAAATTGCTACTGCTATATGATTCACATAAAATAAAATTATTGGGGATGCTCCAGCTTGAAGAATGTACCCTAATTTTGACTTTTCAAATATTAATAAAAAGAAAAAACAAATTAAG